GTCCTCTGTTCACTATTTGCCATGATGCCGACTCGAGACTAGCGTTCTCGCCGAAGAGGCTATGAGATGACTTGTGCGTCGGTTGACCTCGTAAGCTGCTAAATGATCTAGGAAGTCCGCTACCTACGATCGAGGTTGTTTGTTGCTATAGAGGTCTGGAGAGTTGCATTGGTTTGAGTTAGGTTTGCTTGGGGACAAGCAAACGGTTAAGTGTGGGGGGATTTGATGACTCGATATTTGTACATATTTTTCCCCTTTGTTCCTTGATCGTTTAAGCTTGCATTATTGCTTCTTTGGCCTATTTTACGCTAGGTTGTGTTCCTTTGTCACATTTCAGGTCCTAGCACATAAAGTGAAGCATAGGCGCAAGTTTCAAGTCAATCAGAGATCAATTGGCGATTCGGGAGATGAAACTCTGGCATGACCTGAAGAAGAATGGATTTCTACCTCACTTAATGGACAAAGAATCGTGCAAGTTTGACATGGAAAGAAAGAGGACGAGATTACGAGCGTCTGGGATCAAACGGCGACTGATTCGGAGTCCGGACGAGGGAGAAACGAAGCATTGAATATAGGAGAACAGGTTCGGAAGTAAAAACACGGGCAGGAGGCCTTCAAAACACGGCCGTGTTCTGTGACCGTGCTTTTACTGCCGAGAGCAAATCCGAGTTTGGCAGACATGAGCTGATTACACGGGCGGGGCCGAGACAAAGCACGGGCGTGTTTTCCCAAAGCACGGCCGTGTTTTCCCAAAAGCACGGCCGTGTTTTCACCAACATGTGGCCGTGTAATTAACCCTAGCCAAAGCACGGGCGGGCTGAGGCAAAGCACGGCCGTGCCCTCGACAGTGCTTTGGCCAATGATGCCCTTTTAGGCTGATTTCAGCCAAATTGAGAGGGGATTCGAGTTTTAGAGAGATAGAACGATTCCTAGAGAGAGAAAGCGACGAACAAGAGTCTCCAAGTGCCCTAGATCGATCTTCAACACCATTGGAGCTTGGTTTGAGCTTGGAGAAGTGCCGATTCAACGTCCAGGAGCAGAAATCCATCTTCACAGTATGATTTCCGCGTCTGATTCTGCTTTTGCTTCTCTCTCCATGGAGTAGTTCTCCCATTCATCTGGGTGTGGGAAACCCTAGTTCTGTATGTTGAGATTGATTGTATGAACCCAAGTACTGATTCTGTGATTGATTCTATTCGATTGAGGTTTTATGATTGAATGACTTGAATCCTGATCAAATTCCTGTTGTTTCTGCTTTAACCTAGAATGAGAATATCTGCCTAGGTTAATAGAGTATCCTTGATTGAAGGTAGGGAGTTGGTGACTTTAGTCGAGGAGCCAACTCACTATTCTGTACCGGATTTACTCCGGTAGTGGAGGTTTTGTTCTTAGGGCCTCAATCTGTCGACTCCGGTGGAGGTTAGTCGCCCGCTAGAGAGTCAGATTGAGAGGGTCTGAAGACCTTTAGTCGAGACTTCAGGCTGTTTAAGAACCTTCCGCAGTATAATCTTCATAGAAACTGAACTTGGTAATTACAATCCGGCTTAACTGCAGACTAGGGGGAACCATATCCGGGTGACCTCTTTAACCTGAATACAACCAGTTTACTTGCTTTGTTTGTTTGGTAGTTTAGACTTGCACTCCAGTTTTATTGCTAGATAACAAGAACTCATTGAGTAGTCAGCAAATCTAGGACCCGGGTTGACATTGAAACCCAAACCCGCTATACTACGCTTTAGGAAGTGGTTACACTTGGCCATTTTCTAGGGTGACAGTAGAAGTGAGTCATGGCCCTACTGAAGCTCGCTTCATAGTCATGGGCGGGTGTGGTCATGCTTTGGTGAATGTATCTGCTGCATACCTGCCACAGCGCTTCCCTTACCGACCTGGGCAGCTCCCACCTCAACTTAACCAGCTGCTTGGCCAGTATGTCAAGTTTGACTGCAAGCTTCCACTGCCTGGTCCAGCTGGGTTTTCCTCTGGAGAATTTCGCGTCACACAGGTAGTCCCCATAGCAAATGACGCTGAAGTTGCTGATTTGCTCGAGTATCATCCTCAGCCTGCACTCCCAGCACCTGTTCATGTTGTCCCACCTGCACATACGAGCCTTGCATTGGAAGGTACTGGGACACGTGCAGCTGAAGCTACTGAAGGAACTTCAAGGTTAGCAATGCGATGTGTTCTCCTTCCATTTCTTGCAGACAAGTGTGGGCAGCGTACTATTTACGCTGAACTTTTACTATGGTCATTGTAGACTGTCAAGTGTTGCAAAAGGAAAAGCTAAGGTCTCCGACCTTCTACTGCTCAAGGGTCCTGCTCAGGAGTTTCGAATTGAGGACCATCCGCCAAGGTGTTGTGATCGCATCTATTTATTTGGTGGTGTCCTCTGTGTTGTGCGGTTTTGTTCCTTGCTTTTGCCCTTATCCTTTTTTGTTTTGTTTTTTTTGTGCCCTTTTTGAAGCGATTCGATGGTGCCCCTCAATGCCACTGATCCAATAATGTCAGTCAGTGCTCCTTATCAACAGGTTTACAGTAGCTTGCCCCAGGGGGCGCACTGGAGTGGGGTTGTAATTGGAACCGAGTCATAGGCTGCTTTGTCATACCATGGTAGTGGTCGTTCTTTTTCCCTCGATGTTCCAGGAGAAACTCCAGTGGGTTTTACGCTAGCTGATACAAGCAATGCCCCGCCCGGTGCTTCTCATTCCTTGGTGCATGGTGTCTTGGCCCAAAAGACACAGGAAGGCAAGTTTGTAATTGGTGGTGAGCCTCCAGCTTCTTTGCCACGCCTTACTGAGCATCCATCCCCTGGCCAAGCTATCGTAGAAAAGACTTCGGTGACTGATAGTTCAGCCAATGCAAGGGATGTGCACCCAAGTTCCCCAGCTGTAAGTTTGAAGACACCCAAGCCTGACTCTGTCTCTTCTCTTGGGAAGGTCCTTACCTCTGCCAGTGGATCACACTCAGCTTCATTGTGAGTTACCAACTTTAGTATATTGTTTTTTGACTGTTGTCATGGTTGTGTTTACTGAATTCCCTTTTTGGTTTGTATGTGCAGCTGGTGTGGAACATTTCTAGAGGACCCTGCTTTCTTCATCATTGTGGATCGCTCAATGGCTGGAACTTTTGCTATCTTTTGTGTGTGTGTTTTGTGGGTGTTTTGCAAGGGCCTGGCCTCTTCGCATCACATATGTGTGTATGGTACACTGAACATCGGTCTATGGTCCATTTGGGTTCATTTGTGATTGTACAGGGGTTCCTTTCAGCCTTCGGTATGAAAGAAGGTGTATAGTTGTGTTTGTAGGGAACCCCTGTAGTGTGGCAAATAGTAGCAGTTTGGGTGAGGTTATGTGTTTTGTTGTTTCCTGTGTATGCACTAAATCTGTAGAACATTTCCCTTTATGTACCATGCCACTGTACAATGTTATGGTCGGTTTGGCTCCGATCTTTTATATTAGGTGTTGATTGGTTTTGCTTTGCTAAATCAATTTTGTGTGTTATTCTGTTCGTTGTGAATTTTAGGAAGAATGTCGCACACTTACATGGAAGTTACCGCTTCTGGCGCTTTGTGATCCAATGCAATTCGTTAATGTTTGCAAGTGTCTGATCGATGGTGTTGCACTGTGGAAATCATTACGCTTTTTATTACCGCGCACAACTTCCTTGCAACACATTCAGCTCGGGATGGTGCAGCACAGTGACTTGCATATTTAGTATCGTTTTTGCATCTCGAAATTGTGTACCGTATTGTGGCTTGATCGTTTGATAGTTCTTACTTTGCGATTGGGTGTATTGTGCCAGGGGGCTGTACTACAATTAGCATTTAATGCTTGATGATTACTGATCATGATCGATTGATTGATGTCGCTTCTTGCAAGTGGTTTGCTCGATAGCCTGTACCTGTCTACTCCAGAAGAGTCCATTAAATACAGATTACTGTTGTTGGGCCGCTTTGCTAATATGTCTTCTGCTTTTAGAACATAAAATAAACATTCCTTTGTCAACAACTCAGCACACCCTTTGCCTTCTGCCTCTCCATTTTTAAATCATAACTGACAATGCTCTGCCCCCTTAAAGAATTAACTTTCCTCCAAACAGCATTGAATTCTTCCTCTTAACTCTTTCCTTCTTCATTACATAGTCGTGTGCTGGTCGCTCATTAAGTTTCCCTATTTGGTGGAAACCGTTGTATTAACTCACTTGATCTTGGTATTCAGGTCAGGTCTCTCACTCATTTATTGTATCCATGATCTTGTGTTCCTGTTTTTGCTCTTTACATGTTATTTGCTCTTCTAAACACACACAAAACTAAAATCCTATCCCCTCATTCTTTATATGTTGCCTCTGCAGTTAGTCCTTTTCTAAGCATGCCACCACGTAAGAGAAAACAACAATGCCAGCCTTTAAAGTTCAACAGGTTGCGCAGTTCAGTTCCAGAGTATGCTTTGTCTGACCAATCAATGCAAGCAGTAGAGTCTCTTTATGCATATGAACATCCAAGTGGTGACCATCACTTTTCACGCACACCTACAAGGTGCAGTATCAGAGGTTCGAGCAGCACTCAAAGTAACGATGAACTTCCACGCCCGCCTCGAAACCCATACACAAACTTTACACCTAATGAGTCTCATGAACCGGATGTTGTGGTTTCTGAAAGATGCATTCCAACATCTAAGCTACCTATGCATAATGACATCTTGGACATAGGCAAGCCAGAGTGTGTGTGCAGGTTCTGTGGTGCCATGTTCTGGTATTTGGAAAGGCTTGATCGGCGTCGTAAAACAGTTAATCCAGTCTATGTGTTGTGCTGTCAAAAAGGGAGGGTTTCTTTGCCTCTTTTAAAGAAACTGCCGCCATTGTTGGATGATTTGTTGAGACTAGATGGCGGACCTATGTCCAAGCATTTCAGGGATAACATCCGCCCATATAATGGTTCTCTTTGTTTGACCTCATTTGGAGCTACAATTGACCCTAGATCACTTGCTAGTAGAGGCCCTTATTTGATGGTCATCTGTGGCAAAAACTACCATAGAATAAGTTCCCTATTGCCTGCAGAAGGTGAGAGGCCAAAGTTTGCTCAGCTGTATATGTTTGAGCTAGAAAATGAAATTGATAACAGGTTATCCAGCTTCGCTTCGCGTGACTCCCATCTTATGCCAGAATTGCTGACTTCCTTACTTCAAATGTTAGATCAGCACAACGAATTGGTCAAGACATTCAGGCGAATTCGGCAGCAGCTGCAAACCTCTGACACCCCAAATATGAAGCTCAGAATATTTGGTGCTAAGAGTCGAAACCGGCAGAATGATTTGCCAACCAGCTCTGACATTGCTGCACTAATTCCAGGAGATTTTGTGCCAAACAGAGATGATCGGGACATAATTGTCGATCACATTCACGAAGGCCTGAAGCGCATCACCAGTCTGAATCCTAAGTTCGATGCTCTGCATTTCCCTTTGTTATTCCCCTATGGAGAAGATGGTTATCACCCACTCATCAAGTACAACGCAAGATGTTGTCCTGCATCTATGCACAGGCAGTTTGTCACACAACGTGAATATTATGCTTTCAGACTGCAGTACCGCCATCAAGAAGGACACACGCTGGTGCGAGCAGGCAAAGTGCTTCAACATTATTGCATCGATGCCTACTCTTCAGTCGAGCTCAACCGACTTTCCTATTTGCGCTTTCGTCAAAAGGAACTTCGAGCAGAAGTTTACCAAGGCTTGCAGGATGCTATGGCACGGGGGGACATGGATGGAGATAAGGTCGGGCACATAGTTCTTCCAGGAACCTATATTGGCAGCCCGCGCTACATGCAACAACTCTACCATGATGCGATGGCTATTGTTGAGTTCCTAGGGAATCCTGACTTATTTATCACATTTACGTGCAATTCATTGTGGAGGGAGGTCACAGAAGCTTTTGATGGAATCGTGGGACTTAGTAGCGCGGACAAACCGATGGTTGTTGCTAGAGTGTTCCACATTAAACTCAACATCCTGATTGATGATATCAAAAGAGAATCCTACTTTGGAAAGACCCTTGCCAGTAAGTCACGAATTTCATAATTACCTCTTTATGCACTTCTCCTCTCCTTTGTTTCGTGCTCTCCTCCACTTCTAATTTGTAATTACCTCTACAATACGTTTGCTATATCAGTTATGTACACAGTTGAGTTCCAGAAGAGAGGGTTGCCACATATCCATCTATTAGTTTGGCTTGCTGAAGAGGACAAGTTGCGAACAAAAGCATATATAGATGCAGTGATATCGGCAGAACTTCCAAACCCTGAGATCGACCCTTTGGGATATGACGTTGTTGTCAAGTACATGCTTCATGGACCTTGTGGTGGAGCAAGTGCAAACGCTCCATGTATGAGAGACAAGAAAAAATCCAGGAAAGATAAGTGTTCCAAACATTTCCCAAAGGATTTCAATTCAGCAACTACGTTTGACAAGTCTGGTTGTGCTATCTATAGAAGAAGGGACTCTGGAATCCAAGTGCAAAAGGGGAGTGCAATTTTAGACAACCGTCATGTTGTACCATACAACAGAAATTTTTTGGTTTGATTACAAGCCCACGTCAACGTGGAGGTATGTCACAAGGGGAAGCTCATAAAATACCTCTTCAAGTATGTAACAAAGGGCCCAGACAGATCGTTGGTTATTGCTGAAAATCCTGCAACACAAGCCACAGACCCACCAACGCAGGATGCAAGACGCAAAGATGAAATACATCAATTTATCGATTGCAGAACGTTGTCGTCATATGAGGCTATATGGCGGTTGAATGAGTATCTAATTCATGTTAGAGAACCAGCTGTTGTGCGCTTGGGCGTACATCTTGATGGCCAGCAGAAAGTTCCCTACAGAAAGCAATAAAGCATTGACAAAGTTCTGAGAGATCCAAATGCGGGTAAAACACACTTGACAGAATGGTTTGCACTAAATTGTAGAGATCCTGAGGCAAGAAGTTTGACATATGCACAGAACCCAAATAAATATACTTGGCTACCTGACTGTAAAGAATGGACTCCACACAAGAGAGGATTTGCGATTGGAAGGGTTGCGTATGTGCCTCCAGGATCAGGAGACGTGTTTTTTCTTCGTATGTTACTTACCAAAGTTCGCGGATCTCTTAGCTACCGTCATATGAGGACTGTCAATGGAGAAATATGTCCAGATTTTGAAAAAGCTTGCAATCGGTTAGGCTTGCTATCAGATTCATCAGAGTGGGTGAAAGTGCTTTCTGAAATTTCTGCCTCAAGCATGCCACGGGTGAAAGTGCTTTCTGAAATTTTTGCGAAATTCCAAACCCTTTGGCACTGTATGACTCAGCTTGGCGATCTATGGGAGATGATTATGCTTATAGTATATGCACAACTCTGCCAACTGGAAATAACAGTCCAACTGATGAAAGAATACAGAATTGGGTTTTGCGACAGTTACAACAACTCCTTGGGTCTCACTCATCCACGCTTAAAGATTTTGGACTCCCTATCCCCACGGATGATGTAGATTTTGATGATGGAGCAAATCCACTTATTAACAACCACCTGGATTTTGATACAAACTCACAGGCAATCTTATCAAGCACTATGTTGGAGTCACTCAACACGGATCAGTTGCATGTGTACTCAACTGTCATAAATTCGATTCATAAGTCAGGGCAACCATTCTTCTTATATGGCCATGGTGGCACAGGGAAAACATTCCTCTACAACGCAATAACAGCGAGGCTAAGAAGTATGTCAAAAATTGTTGTTCTGGTTGCCTCATATGGAATTGCAGCAACATTACTGCCTAAAGCCACCACTTCCCACTCGAGATTTAAGATACCTCTGACCTTAGACACAACATCAACATGTCCAATCAAAAAGGTACACACTTAGCTGAGTTGATCTGGGAAGCTTCTCTGATTATCTGGGACGAAGCGCCCATGACACACCGACTGGCTTTCGAAGCTGTGGATCGCAGCTTTTGTGATATAATGAATGTTCCCTTGAGGGGCTCACTGTACAAGCCTTTTGGAGGGAATACTGTTCTTTTCGGGGGGATTTTCGCCAGACACTTCCAGTCATAACAAAAGCAGGTCGAGAGCAAACAGTTGATGGTTCGCTTACCAGATCACTCTTGTGGAGTTCTTTTAAACTACTAAAGTTATCTAGAAACATGAGGATCACCTATTCAGTGGCAGATGAAGCAAGGTTCATGCATGGCTATACATTCCCAGAGTGGGTGCTTGCTTTGGGAGATGGAAAGCTTAAGACAACATCGTTTAAGCCAGATACTCCATCGGATTGGGTTCAGATCCCGCAGATCTTTTTGGTGGACCATGGCACTCACCCCATTGGCTCCATTACAGAAGGCATTTATGATATGTTTCTACATAACTACAGGCAGCCACAGTACCTTGCAACAAGGGCAATCATAACTCCAAAAAATACAACAGTGACTGAGATTAATTCATATATGCTGCAACAAGTACCAGACATAACAAAAACATACTACAGTTCAGATTCACTCCAACAATCAACAGAGACATCTGCTTCATTAGAAGACTGCTATCCAACTGAGTTTCTCAAAACGCTGACTTTCAACGGAGTTCCTGATCATGAGCTCATCCTTAAGAATCATACACAAATCATGCTTCTACGCAACCTCAGCCCTGGACTTGGCCTGTGCAACGGTACGTGGATCATGATAACGTCATTGGGTGACAATGTTATCCAAGGAACCATCATGGGAGGTTCCAATGACAGTGACGATGTTATCATTACAAGAATTGTGCTTAATATAGAAAATTCAAGGTGGCCATTTATACTTAAAAGGCGTCAGTTCCCTGTACGCTTGTGCTATGGGATGACCATAAACAAAAGCCAAGGGCAAACGCTAGACAAGGTTGGGATATACTTGCCTGATCCAGTTTTCAGCCATGGCCAACTGTATGTGGGAGTTTCAAGAGTGAGATCGGCCAATGGCCTAAGAATACTCATTGACAACCCTGCTGACATACCAGGAGACTACACCAGGAATATCGTTTTCAGGGAAGCATTCACTGATATACTACAAGCTTAGACTTTCCCTAATGACATGGGCATGTTAAGGTCATGTGTTTTGCATCCAAATGTGTGCGGTGAACATACCACGTTTGGCATCTTCAATTGTGTGTAATTAATTATGTTTGCCTTTTGTAAGTGACAACAACTCTTTCTGTCATCTTTTATTGTGAAATGCTCAGGTTGCAGCGGAAAAAGGATAGATATGTGCTATGCGTTTGTCGTTGCAGGAGCTGGATTTGTTCGACGTTATCGTGTTGGATTCCTAGATTTGGGTTCTTCGTAAGTTCTTGAAGTTCATTAAGTAATCTCCCCCATAACTGATCTCTAGAGACATTTGATCCTCATAACATATGAGCGTCTTAATCGAGATGTTTATGGGCCACAGAAAGACGTTGGGCCTCACACAGTTTTTCTGCCCAAATAAAACCAAGAGCTTCAGTATAGATTCCAAAGGATACAAACATAGTTAAACGTGACAGCAGGCCTGTGTACTATAAGGCCCAAATCAGCCTTCTGGCCTGTATTTTTTAGGCCCGCATTCAATTTACTTATGCCCTGCTCTGGCCTCCATCGACAGCACAAACATTGTTCCGGATCTTCGCTGGCATCGGCGGTAAAAGCGGCGCATTTCGACCACTCTGAAAACCCTAGCGCCAAGGTATGTCACTATCTGGTCCTAAACACACCGCTCACTAGAAAACATCACATTTCTCTAATAAAGATTCCTTCGATCTCAGCGGGCCCACGAACTATGGCAGTTTTCCGCCGAGACAACCCATTCGCCTCGCGGGATTACGAGGTCCCCACCGATCCCCAAGGTTCGATGTTTGTGTTTCTATAGGTCTGAATTGCTACTGGATTTCGATTGCTTCGCAAAACTTTGCCAGAAATGGTAACTCCACTTAGTTTGTGTTTTGCCTCTACTATAGACCCCATTTGTGCTTCGATGACGTTTCGAGGTTTGTGGTTGGGAACCAACAACCGTACTGTCATAGCTCGGCTTCTAAAAACGTGGACAGAAGTCATTGACGGAAAGTTTTGGAAAACGCCAGCACTGCGAATGCTCTGGATGGACAAGAAGGTTTGTTTACGATTTCCCAGCAAAAAAAAAAAAAAAAAAACACCTGCTGCTTATCTATAACATTCTTTTACACCCGCTAATCCCGCAGAAGTGAGTTATTGAAGCTCTGGCATATGAAAGGGACATTGATGACGTGATGGTGAGGATCAAAGTTGGTCGTCTGCATCGCCTAAGCACTATCGTTACAATCCCCTCGAGTAAGAACAAACGCATTGTCCCAGGAGAACTGCGGTTGCTCATGAACTCTGACCAACTGATTGATAGCATCGAAGAAGACCATAACAATCCTAAGTTACCCCTCGAATCATTCCTGAACTTTCATTTCTCAGTGGTCCCTGCAAAGTTGACAAGTTTCCACTGCCACGCAGGTAAAACACAGTACCTTACTTTCACGACCAACACACACTAAAAATTCCATAACATCTATGCAATTACAGATGTCACAGGCTGCGTACGAAGAATCACAGTACCAAATGAACTTCAGAATGGCATGCTTGATTTCCATCTGGTTATTGAAGACTACAGGTATACTAAAGCATGTACCTAAGATCGTTACAACTTTCGACACCGAATGATTTATATTTTGTTTGTATTTGCAAAACAGTGGGAACAAGGCTGTTGTGCAGTACTGTGGCTACGATGTCGTTGCTTACCTCCAACAAGCAGCAGATGTAGAGTCTCACCTCCCGCTGATAACCACAGTTACATCAGTAGTCACCGTGCCCCATAAGTGCAACGATGATGGTATATATGAGCTGGAATCGACACAAGCCAGTCGTCTGATTATCAGTTCATACAATGAAACCACTGAAAGAGTCATGAATAGGTATTTGTGATTTCCTAACAATCTCTGAGACAATTTGTTCACTTCGAATGTGCTTTCATTGTAGCACCTTAGCCTAACATAGGCGTATATTTGCCAAAGTTAGGTTTCTGCCATACCGCAAACCGATCAAGTACATAATCTTTGGAACAGCTGAAAGGATGGGATACTTACGCTACCTTCGACCCCCAAAAAGAACACTCGCTCAGATAAAAGAAGACTTGAGTTCAGGACCACAACATCGTGAGGTATATTACGAGGATTTGTAAAATCCCGACATTAAAATATGTGTCATTTGCTATTACCGTGCACTCTAACCTAGCAAAAACAATTTTTATATTCTAGACCCTCTACCGAACCATAATCAAGTTCACTCATGTCAAATACACAGACGACATTTGCACAACCACTTAGGAAACACCAAGGTAAGCTTAAATAGTTAAATTGACCCGTTTGCACTTTTGGCAAGGAACGCTTGCATTATTCTCAACAAAGCTAACGAGCTTCTATGATAACCAGGCTGCATTACCAAATCGAAGCAAGGTGCAAATCTGAATCATCCGAGGCTGTTGTCCTCAATCACGAGGCAGCTCTGTCGATAATTTGCATGCTACCGCCAAAGTATCTCAAACTGAACGGAGATGAAATAAAAGGCATCATAAAGAAAAACTGCAAGAAGACCTTCGCAGCAGAACTATACATTGCATGGCCGAACCCAGGTCAAAGCACAGTGCCACGTATCAGGGTTGCGACACTTTGGGATCGCTGTGCTTTCGACGATTGAACACCAACTTCGACCAGCTCCATTTTGAATTAGGAAAACTACTGCTGATTAACCGCTCTTAGCTGTTTCTACTTAAGCCTTGACATACTTGACAACACCTTAGGTCGTCTTTTGTGATGTACATGCCATCCCGCGAACCTGGTGCACATATTTTGTAGATCTTTGTTGAACTGTCTATTTCGCAGCAACAACTACCACTTGACTTAATCAGGTAGTTCAGTCAGACTGAATCTTTTGTGAATGCTTAGGACACATTTTGGGGAATCACTTTTGCATGTGTACTGATATGTCGTTGGCACAAAAGTACTCAGTTAGCCAATTGGTCTTTACTATTGACTTTATGATTTATGAGCTGTTTAAATATTAGAAGTGGTGACAATAATTCCCTTGCCTGCTACCACCGTTTCACATGTGTGATCTTTGACATTATGATTATTGAAGCAGGAACCGCCTATGTTACGTATTTATTCTTATCTTTTGATATCGTCGAATCTTGTGTTTATTGCAGATCCTTAGAAATAACATTACTTTGTATGCCTCCCGTTTATCCAGAATTATGTACATCATTTGTGATTTCCATTCCCCCATCGGCAACGAGATCTGATGCTCCAGTATACAAATTTGATGTTGGAAAAAACCCACCTAAAAAATACAACCCGACTATTCCATCTGGGCCTTTAGCCCAACACTTATGGCCGATATTATCCCCTTTCTTTCCGCTTTTCCTTTCATTTCGTCTACCTTCCACCCTTATTTCTGTTGTGCCTGCGTCATAATTTCCCGACCCTTCTGTTTGCCTCACCAGAAGAATAACGCTACTGCTGTTCCACCTTTCTCATTCTTACTCTCACTTTAACCTTCTTCCTCTATTTCCTCACAGAAAGGCGATGTCTACTCCTAAGCTACTTCTTGATCTTAATGGAACTGAAGACCTAGAAACTATTCTGAAATTATGACTCCTACATGTTTGGGTATCTAATGACCTAGAAAAGCCATATTGCAGTCTCTGGACCGATGCGAAGGTACCATGCTATTTGCTTTCGGTTTTCCTATTTTCCAGTAACATTTCTGATCCTGAGCCATCTCTGTTGCTTCGCCTGCTACCTACTTTCACAGGGAACATTGATTCAAGCAATCGCCCCATCAAATTTAGCTGCCCATTTTGGCGTAATCCTGCAACTGGGCTATGTATATTTAGTTGCTAGATTCCATCTACAACGACCACAAACGATGTGGCGCCCTTGCTCCAATACATTGAATTTGGTTCTTTCTCAAGAAACAATATTTGATAATGTGACCATGATGTCGCCTGGTTTTTGTGCTAATTTGTTTGAGTTTGTTGCCTACAATTCCTTGTGCTCCTTACCTCGCTCAGCAAACCAGCTAATAGGTTTACCTACCAAACTACTTTAAACTCATGAACTCCGCTTCAATTTCACCATTACAGTTGGGGAGCTGACTATGTTTGCCAACCACTTCAAATGTAGATGTTGTTGGCAAAGTTGTGTCCGTAGCTGGTCTGTCATGCTTAGTGACCTCTGTTCGTGCTATTATTAGGCGCAAACTGGTCATACAAAACGAGAGGTTTTCGATGCATTGCACTTGTGTACTTTTCCAGACCTTCATTTGTTGTCTTTTGTTTCCTCTTTTTTCATTGTCTTTGTTTCGCTGTACTTTTACAGGCATGTACGCCTTAATATCACCATCTGTGGCGATGTTGCACGATCTCTAGATGGGGGAATAACTAGCATACCTTGGCCGTTCTGGTTCTGTTGTACTAGGTGTATGTAGCCTTCAGAATAGTGATGTAACAATAGGTTAGATCGCAGATTTCTACCTGACAACTAATGGTTTGACTTCTCTACATTATCCACTGTTTTTCCAAGACGCCATCTTTTTGACCAGCACCCCTGGCACACGCTTTGTGCTAGAACCATCTTGTGATTTGGCAAATACTTTGCGCTCTGCGTAAGTTGCTTCCAATGTAACTTTTCGACAATTTACTTTTCCTTTATCTAATATTTTCCCCAATGTATAGCTCTCTTGGTGGAAATGAACGATTCAATACTATCCTCCGTGGTTCTCAACCGCTTTTGAAGAACACCTATTCCAGGCTGACAGTACAAAGAAAATTCTGGACCTGATCCACCTTTGCAACCCATCAATGATTGATGTACGTGCTTCTTGCACAAACCTTTCTTTGCCAGCATTGCATTTCATGCATACATACTGAGAGCAAGCATAACATGCTAATTTATTATACCTAACCTATTTGTTTGTCTGTCTACTTTTAGTTGCACAATTGATGCTACCGTTTGTGCAATTCCA